TCGTTGTGCTGATTCGAATCAGCAATGCTTTTGGTTATCAGCATAATTTGTCGAACAAATAACCTCGATTAAATTCACGTAAAAAAATTGCCGATTTGAAAAAAATACGAGCTCATTTTCTGCATAAATGTAAGTCTGAAATGCAAATATAACGTTATGCAAGAAAAGAAATAACTGATTTTTTTCCTTAGTTATTAATTTTTCTAGCTATTATATATATATTAAAAATATATATAATATATAATATATTAACAATAAGTAATTTTTTTAGAAATTGAAGAATCGATTTTTTTTGAATAAACAGTATTAAAGTATCGTTTTAGATTTATTAAATTAATCTCTCTGTCTGTCTGTCTCTCTCTCTCTCTCTCTCTCTCTCTCTGTATGGTCGTCGTGGAATATTCAAATGATTTTTACTTGATATTTTTAATTTCAAAATTATGATTTGCTTTAAAAAATATATTGAAAATTGCAAAAATGCACAAGAGTGACTATTTATGTTTTTGTATAAAAGAACATAAGTAAATTTCAAAGAAACAAACAGAAGATAAAAATAAAATAACACGAGAAATGACAGACTTAAAACGAAAATTTAACTTGAAATCAAACGAAATAAGACAAAAGAAAGAATAGACAATAGAAAAATATTATGCATGAATTACTCAGCTGTAACTACTCTTTATGGATTGATAACCTTATTTCAGACCATCGCATTATGGGATAATTTTATAATGCTTTATTCGAATCTGAAAAAGTAAAAAAATCCAAAAATAAAATCCAAAATAATGAATAGAATTAAAAATTAAATATGGCAAACAGAATTTTGAAAAAATTAATTTCATCATATAAACTTGGTTTTAGAGAGTTTTTAATTCCAAAGTAACATCAAATTTTCAGTTTCGCTTCATTTAAAGCTCATCAGTGCTTCGTAAACAGTTACTACTAATTTCAAACTTATTTTTAAATTCTGATCATAAGCCATCTCATATCAGATCTTCCTTTATGAAGTTTATTAACCTTACTATTGGATTGGAGGAAAAGTTCTGCGATATTTTGTTAGCTCTTAGAAAATTATCTATATATACAATATCTTCGTTAAAAATGATCAAAATTTAAATTTAAAAAAAGGATTTTAAAGCTTGAAACCTCTACTTTCAAATGATTACTATATTTTTTGTGAGTTACTAAATTTATGTAAGTTTTATAATTTTTATATATAGAAAACTATGAGCTGAAAAAAAGGAAAATTTTTTTCACTTTAGAGATCTGTTATGTGCCAAAAAAATTGCGAAAATTTTTTACTATCTATATCGTAAAAGTTTTTAAATTTTCTTTATAAAATCATTTTTTAAAAATATTTCTATGATTTTTTGTTCTTGAATTATTCGCGAGTTAAATAAAAAGAAGCATTCTGATTTTGATTGCTCATAATTCCATTAAAAATCATCGTACTGCAATTAAAAAAACAGATTCTTAAGACTGAAACGTTACTCTATCGAATAGTATCATACTAATTTTTTAAATGTAAAATATACAGAAATTTGAGTTAAAAATGTTATTATGAATATTACTATCCTTATATATAACAATTACGCAATGGAAAAAAAGGACAATATTATATTTTTACTTCTAATGTACATATATTCTATTTTTTTTTTAAATTGGCAATTACATCACACTTGATAGAGCAACGTTTCAGCTTTAAGAATATGTTTTATTAATTACAGTACGATAATTTTTAACGGAGTTATGAGCAATAAAAATCAGAATGCTCTTTTATTTAATCCGTGTGTAACTTGATAATAAAAAATCGTAGAAATATTTTTTAAAAACGAATTTTTAGGAAGAACTTTAAGCTTTTACATCAAATAGAAAATTCGCAACAAGTATATTCTGTATATAATTTTGAGCTAATAAAATTTCGCAGAACTATCTTTCCAAATCATTACAGTTTTGAAATTTAATATTTAAATACTACCTTCAAATTCAGAGATATCAAGAATCTTCTAAAATCAAGTTTCACAATAATCAGATTTTTTAAATTTAGATTTTAGACTTCTAGAACCTGATTAATCAAATTCAGTGACCCTGAAAACTCTTAGAAAGATCTTTCATAATATTGTTAGAAACAGGGTTGTTAATGCAAAAAAAAAGATTTCCCGGTCACCTTTTGAAAAAATTTCTAACTAAAACCTGAAAGATTCTATGAATAAAAGAAAAAAAGAATATTAAAATATTTTATTTTATAAGTAAAAAATATTTATATTCAAAGAATTATTTACCTTTACTTACCAAAGAACAAGTTGTAAATATAAATAATAACACAATACTTGTAGTGAGTGTGTTGCAAACATTAACTAGGTAAAAAATTTTTCACATGAATATGTATATTTTTTATACATGAATATGTATAAATTATACATAAGAAAGTTTTTTAGATTTCTTCATTTTATTTTTTTTAAAACAAATAGTGCGAAAATTAACCTTTTAATTATTTTTAATATTTTCACATTACTATTAATATTTCTATTACACTAAAAAGTAATTTTACAAAAGAAAGATGTACAAAAGAAAGATGAACATGTATGGACATATTTCATATATGACTATGCATATGTTTATGAATATTTATGTATGTTTATACATATTTATGCATGAAAAATTTTTTACCAAAAAGTGGAACATACGACTACTAATGAATTTCTGCAAATTGCTCATTGCAAAATTAAAAATAAAAAAAAAATATTTGCATTGCAAAATTAATTCTCTTTGAAAAATTAATAAAATTCTATTTCATAATTTTTGAAGAAGTAAAGTTTAAACTTAGAATTTTACAGTAATTTAATCTAATTTTAATGAATTCTTTGATAATAATTTCTCTGACTTTTCTCGGTTTTCCCGTTTTCCCCACTTTTTAATTTCACTAACTTTTCTCTGATTTCCCTGATCACTAATAATCCTATTAGAAAACTCCAGTTCTCAAAAGATTAACCGATAGACCTCTAATTAAAAATAATGTTATTAATTCAACGACAGTATTAATGAAACAAATATACTATATGATCCTGTTTTAATAAAATGTTATTTATTTCATTAATATTGTCATTGAATTAAGATTATTTTCAAGTGGATTGCTATTGGCTAATGCTGTTATCATAATATTATATTTTTCCGCTCATCATTATGGAGATAGACTAAAAAATACGTGCGTGTTCACAAAGCACGAGTTTTACAAGTTAAGTCATATGGTCTTCACACGTTAATTGTGGAGCGCTTTCCATTGATAATGACTAATATCAATGCATATTATTTATTATTGCGTCACTGTTTATATCACGTTTAATTTAACTGTATTCATTGTTTTTCAATCTTCTTCATTATTCAAGTCATTGACGAAGTCAACTTTTCATCTTTATATACAGGATGTTTGATAAGTAACGATAAAATTCTCGCATAGGGATAGAGTGAAAAACCCCGAATATTAATTTCCAATAATTTTTTATTCAAATACTATCGACTTTATAGAAAAACAGCAAGACAAAAATTGTTTTTGTTGAGTTTTAAGAAAGTTTTTAATAATTTTTTATAATTTTTTATCAATTTCATAGTACTGTATTTATATATATATATACATATATATATATATATATACACAGGATGTTCCGAAAGTTTTTGCCAATCGCTTTTGTGTATATAGAGTGGACTAAACTGAATCGAAAAGTTCTCTACTATTTTGCAATTTTCGTAATAATTAACGCAATAGTTCTTAAAATAAGATATTAATTACTAAAAATTGCCAAAGGAATTGGTAGAGGACTTTTCGACTCAGTTTAGTCCGCTCTATCTACACAAAAGCGATTGGCAAAAACTTTCGGGACATCCTGTATTATATTGGCAACTATTTTTACCAATAGAAAATACGGTACTAAAAAATTCTTAAAAAATTCTCAAAACTTTAATAAAAAAAATAAATTTTTATCACTTGCTGTTTTTGTGTAAAATTGATAGTACTTGAGTCAAAAATTATTGAAAACCTATATTCGGCAATTTTTAGTAATTGATTTCTTGTTAACTATTATAAAAATTGTAAAATGATAGAGGACTTTCTGACTCAGTTTAGTTTGCCCTATGCACAAATTTTATTGTTACTTATCAAACACCCTGTGTATAATAAATGCGATTTAAGACGTTGAGATAATCTGTTTAATAAGTTCATGACCCGAATAAACTTTCGTCCGAGAATTGTTACATTGAAAATTTTTGAATGCGGATAAAAACTCATTTAAGGATGTTTCATACGTAAAAATATACTTCAAAATGATAATAAAATTACAGATTATTCTAAATCATATTTTAAAATAATACGACAAATTTGGTGACGGTTTACTATTTGGATCGTAAATCATTTTATAAATAGTAGTATTTTTTTAATGTGTGCTCTAATAAAAATGTATGGAAATATATTATAAAATAAATGACAAAAAAATCTGAATTTTTTTATAGTACATAATGTATTCAAGATTATTTATATATAGAGTTACATTGTGATGCGTGAACTAGTTGCCCAGTAAATAAATATTTTGCTCTATATCTTTATAAGTGATAAGATTCACTAATCAGTGAATCGCAATAAAACTTTGTATAAGTTATATTTTAAATATTTAAAGAACTTATTAAAAAAATTTTAATTTTTAACAATAAAAATAATAATAAATAAAATAAACGATAAAAATGTTATTAAATAAAATATGTAATTTTATATGATTTTCATACGTATGTAGTTTATTTGAAGTGTAAGTATTAAATACATTCTCAAATTTAATTTTCTTTGCAGGGATTGTACGTATGATATATCCTTAAATGCGATTTCCTGCTAAAATAATTTGAGCAACAAAATTCGCTCTAAAACAAATTAAGAACAAAATAGCACTAAATTTTTGACCGGTCCAAGTTTGATTTGGAAGGGAGTCCAACTAAGTTAATGAAGATGATAAAAAGGATTCTTTATATACATATATATTATATTTTCAAGTAGATCGTTGTTGGCTAATGCTGTTATCACAATATTATATTTTTCTATTCATCATTACGGAGAAAGACTAAAAAATACGCGCTTATTCATAAAGCACGAGTTTTACGAGTTATACATATATTTCGATATAAACATATATATTAGTTGCTTTCCATTTACATTGATTCTCTGACAATTCTTACTTGTGATATCATAACTCAATTGAATTCGCGTTCCTTTTGCATTTTGCAAGTGAGATTTAACTGAGTTTTTGCATATAATCTACATAAGAGACCGTGTGCTTTAGCGAGTCTCATAAATTCATTTTAAATGTAAAGTTATGAACCAGTATTATCATGTGATAACTTTTTAACCAAAGTAAACAAATAATGACATCATTAATCTGAGTATGAAATAGCTCACTTCAAATTCAGTTTCATTTCTGTATAAATGGAAAGCAACTATTATATGGATTCGAATTTCATTACTTCGTCTCTTCAATCTTTGACTGTTGTTTGATGCGGTAATCTGACAGAGCAGCCTTAATTGCATCCTCGGCAAGCACTGCAATTTGCGAAAAAATTGTAACTGATAAAACTGATTACTAATTGTACTGATATTTGTAAGATCACAAAATCCTGATACTTAATTATATTTGATTTTTACATTTTCTATTGTAATACATATTTGTCTTATCTCAGAAAATATTGCTATGAAAACTCTCTCTACTCTAATTTAAAATTAATAAAACAAAATTTTTAGTATGTGTACTTACTCGAACAGTGTAGCTTGACGGGCGGAAGGCAAAGCTCTTTTGCAATGTCAGTATTTTTTAATGCCAATGCTTCGTCCACCTGAAAAATTTAATAACAAATTAAAATTCTTATATTGCAATATATTTTACAGTATATAGTTACAACTCGAAAATGAAGTAAATACTTGGACACAATTTAAGGGAGCTTGTAAAAGGTGTGTTATTCATGAGTATTGAAAATCTATTGTTCATGTACATATACCATAGATTTTCAGTACTTGTAATGAATAATGGAATACAAGTGATGACACTATGATTTGCATGTTTAAAGTTATAGCCATATAAAATATACTCCAATATATTACAAGTTCAAAGAATAATTATAATTTAGCATAATTAAGAATTAATGATAGTAAATTATAAATTAAAAAATCTCACCGTTTTTCCTTTAACCCATTCCGTTGCTAAAGAACTTGAAGCAATAGCGGAACCACAACCAAAAGTCTTGAATTTTGCATCAATTATCTTACCATCTTCATCGACTTTAATCTGAAGTTTCATCACATCACCACAAGCTGGTGCTCCTACAAGACCTGTCCCAACATGATCATCATTTTTATCCAAGGAACCAACATTTCTAGGATTTTCATAGTGATCTATTACCTGTTTAATTGTAAAATCAAAACATTTTTATTTAAAACTTTCAGTTTAGGAATATCATAATACACATAAACATTATATATATGCAACAATTAATGATTTATTAATAAAACCATAGTATACAAATATTGTAAAAATTGATAAATAAAATTTGTACCTCTTGCATAATATTATATTTTATATGAATGTTCATATAATAAAATAATAACATAAGACATTTTAGATAAAACAAATTGATTATTGTAAATAGAAGTCATTATGTGCACTGACTTTGAAAATGTAACTGAGTGTGACATACATAATTTATGAATGTTTCCATCTTAATGGAATACAAATAAAAAGACGAAAATACAATCTATGGCTATATTTTGATGTATACTGCCAGTATACTAAAAATCTATAGTTTATGTTACATATATTATAGGTCTTCAGCAATGACAATGTATATATTGGAACATGAGACATGAAGTATATAGTTATATATATACTTTGTGTTATATAGTAAAAAAGATTACACCATATTACATCATATTATTGTACATCACCAGTTTGTTATATAAAATTATAACAATAAAATTATGAAATATTTTAATAGAAAATTTTTTATAAAATTAATATACACACAGTCGTTTTCTGTATAAATAAGATTCTCTAAATTTTTTATGCTGGATACTAGATGCTCGGAATATGACTACACAAACATGATATCAAACATTAAAAATTATACTCTATTCATATATATATATAAATACATTCATCGCTTATTTAACATAATAAATGAGATAGATTATTAAATAATATTCAAACAATTAATAAAAGAACATGTACATGTGAGACATACGCAATTAAAGGTTGAGATTGGAATTATGACAAGGTTAGAAAAATGACGGTAATTACGTTTGCGTGATAAAACACGGCCGGAACGCTCTTTGAAATAATCTTGGACGTCGCGCCGATTCCGGCAGGCAATGCCCGGAACAATGCCATTTTCTTTTATGCGCACCTTATCATGAATTCGCTATATCTCTCCGATTATTTCAATAATACCCGATAATGGTCGCGTTCAGCATTCAAGTTTTCAATCACCTTCAGGGTTCCAAAACTCGACTCTGAGTAACAGAATTAACTCTATACCGTTCCAAAATACGTGGGATAACTGACCATATGGGCGGAGCCTATTCGTTCCAAAAGTACAATATAAATAAACCTCGGAGTCAATTCTATGAACCCTGGGGTCGATTCTGTATCTTCAATCAAGATGAAAATTACAAAAGTGAGCAAATTTACTAGATGTTGACCAATTAAATTATCAGTATTCTAGTAAATTCGTCACTCACTTTTGTAATTTTCACCTTGTTTCAAGATATATGGGTCATCTAAAAAGTATCTGCGGTACTTTGTCACTAGATATATGACCATCAACACACATCTAGTAACAAAAAATCGCGGATACTTTTTAGATGACCCAATATATTGGTCGTATCGTAGCGTCGCAAGCATCGTAAGCATTATGCGACTTTAATATTGAAACATCGGATTGGCTGAAGCAACAAGCTTGTGATTTGCGACGTCTACGATATGACTAATGTAGAATGGTCTTTACATTCTGATCCGATTTAAATCGAATTCGGTGAAAACAAGGCCAATAGTTTCGGTCCGTATTCTTGAAAAGTATCGCATACAAAAAATTAGGGAAATGCTATAGTATAAGTAACGTATACTATAGTATTTCCCTAGTTTTCCCCGCGCGTCGATGACACCAATTTTATATTGGATCCGCCATTTTGTTTTTTTTTATTATTTTGATTTTAAATTCACAATTAGCGAAAATTAAATTCACAATAGCAAAAAAGAAAATAACGAATTTAATATGGCGGATATAAATTTTTTGATATTTTTAATAGTTAAAAATCCCGTGGTACTGGATTTCGGATGGAATTTCATTTGTTTTTGTCGTACGAGGATCTCTCTATCTTCCACGCATTTGTCGTACGGCAAAAACGCACAAATAAAATCCCATCCTTCCACTACATTAAAAACATTTAAAAATTTATATCCGCCATATTGGATTCGCCATTTTCTTTCTTGCAATTTTAACTTTGGATTTGTAATTAACGATTTCGAAAAAACCCTGTGGTACCAAATTTCGTACAAATTGAACAACTCTCATCTTTGGTTAACTTTTCAGGATTTGAAACAATTGTGAACCACTGATACCACTGTACGCCTGCTCCATCTCTGTACAGTCCGTGCTTGTCCTGTCACACAACTGTTTACGGAATGTATGCGAGGAACGACAGTTAACGGTTCTCGCCTTAAAAATTTTGAATATTAACGAAACAGTGTATAGGTACGTGCAGCTTCGTCCGTCTATTTGCGAGGGATGCTCAAGCACCGTCGCGACGAGATCAGACAAAATCGCGTGAGCCCATGATTGAGTGATGCTTCGAATGATCGACGCCGCCGAATCGAATACATCGCAGTGATTCAGTTCTAGGACATGTGTCTCACAGACGATACGCTTAGTGAAGTGGTCGATATTCGTCGATAACGATAACGATCTTTACTCGTTTGCAGCGTGTTTCAAACCAAGGATGGCTAGCCGAGACCCGTCGGTCTCCTCCAAAATCGCAGATGATCATAGTGTCGAGGTTAGCATTGAGGTCGACTGGATCCGTTTTCATTCTCTAACTGTGCCCTTATTTCATTTCAATGCAAATGAAATAAGTGTGAGAAGGCACAGTCAGAAAAGAACGAACTGATCTATTATTATTGCGTAAAAACATAATGACAGCCACGAAACTAATAATGCCTTTTCTTATTTTGGAAATTTATGATATTTTTTTTGCTGTAAAACTGAACCTCATACTTCAAACATATTTTATTATTTTGAATTAGTATCTTTATAATGGAATTTCTTAATGTAAGATGCTAATAATTCATTCATTATTTATGTTTAAATAGAAGATTTGAAGATTCTAAAATATATTGTATATTAATTAATTATGATGAAATTAATAAAATTATATATATAATTAAAATTAATACTTCTTTTATTCTAAAATTATAAATAGTTATTATTATACATAAAGTACACTATACAAAAGATACATTATCATATGCATATTAGACTGATTAATTATGTAAGAATCATAATATTATAATTGTGTACTGCAATATAAGATTAAAAGTGATATTGAAATATAACCTTTTACTTTCTTATTATAGACATTGGCAGAAGTTTTCCGATGTTTCATTTGTATGGAAAAGCTGAGAGATGCGCATCTCTGTCCTCACTGCAGTAAATTGTGCTGTTATACCTGTATTAGAAGGTGGCTCACTGAGCAACGCTCTCAATGTCCTCACTGTCGAGCTTCCCTGCACTTACACGAACTAGTAAATTGTCGTTGGGTCGAGGAAGTAACCCAGCAACTTGATACATTGCAAGCTGTTTGTATATCTAATTTTCGACATGACGATTCTAGCAGAGACAGGTGTGAAATAATATTCTAAAATTTTAGAGACATTTATTTTTTTTTGTAAACTTAAAAACTAATATATTTTTTAATAATTCATTTTTTTATTTTATTATTTATTCAAAACATATATTTTTGTATAATATATAACTTGTATTTGTAATATTTGAACTTTTATTTATTATTATTACAGATGCACAACACATCAGGAAAAATTATCTGTGTATTGTTGGACTTGCCGTAAATGTATTTGTCATCAATGTGCTCTTTGGGGAGGTACTCATTCGGGACATACGTTTAAACCTTTGGAAGATGTTTATGATCAACATGTTTCTCAAATAAAAGCAGAAGTAGGTCAATTAAATAGACGACTCATGGAATTAATCAGCCTTGTTCAAGAAGTGGTATGTTATGTTTATAAATTTTAAATTTGAAAAATGGAAGAAAATTGAAAATGTGGCATATGAATTTGTTCTGCTATATTTTGTAATTTTATCATGTTTATATTTTATTAGGAGAGAAATGTTGAATCGGTGAGAGCTGCGAAAGATGAAAGAGTCAGAGAGATCAGAAACGCAATAGAATTAATGATAGCTCGTCTGGATTCTCAATTGAAAGCTAAACTGTTGACTCTGATGGGTCAGAAGAATTCATTGACTTTGGAAACCGAACAATTAGAGGCTCTATTACAAGAGGTGGAATATCAGTTGCACACATGTACACGCTCCGAATTGATCGTTAAAAGCGCTGAGCTATCTCGCAAGATACATCAGGTTCGCAAAAAACCAATGACGAGTTTTGTCACTGCACCAGTACCTGCCGACTTTCACAGGTAAGGTTTCTAAAGTAAGGATTAATGTAATTATTGTACATATATATTTGTCTATGAAATTTGTTTACATAATTATAATGATTAAAGATTTATCAGTATAATTTCATATTAAATTTCAAGAGTTATTTTATTCTAGTGAAATTGTGCCAGGCTACGACAGCGCAACATTTGCCATGCAAAATTTTACTCAGCTTCAACTGAAAGCTGATCCTGTATATTCTACGCCATTGCATGTGAATGGGCTGTGCTGGCGATTGAAAGTATATCCAGATGGCAATGGAGTTGTACGCGGAAATTATTTGTCAGTATTTTTAGAACTCAGTGCTGGATTGCCGGAAACTTCAAAGTATGTAAAAATTCATAAGTAATGATTTGTATATTTCTTGTACCGAAAGTTATATATCATATATCTAAAAATATAAAACAAAAAATATCTATTTTATTCTAAATATTTTTGTAGGTATGAGTATAGAGTTGAAATGATTCATCAAGGCTCTCGTGACACGAGTAAAAATATTGTTCGCGAATTTGCGTCTGATTTCGAGATCGGTGAATGTTGGGGATATAATAGATTCTTTCGATTAGATTTACTCGCGACGGAAGGTTACTTAAATACAGAATTAGATACTCTCATATTGAGGTAAATATTTTTATGAACATTTTTAAATTAATGTTATAAAACTAAATTTATTCGAAATTTTTATGTTCTAAAAAAGTTTTGAATATTTATATTTGTGTACATAATAAACTTTTTATATCTTGTATCTTATATAGATTAAAATTACAATCATATAGTAATCACTTTTATGTAGATTAAAACTGCAGTTATTAGCATTAGCATTATGAACATAATATTGAATAAGACAATACATTACTTATTTAATATCAAATTGTATATAATTATCTAATATGAAATTGACAGATTCCAAGTACGACCACCGACATTTTATCAACGCTGTAGAGATCAACAATGGTACATTAGCCAATTATTAACTGTCCAAAATCAATATATCACTCAGATTAATGAATTGAAAGAGGTAAATGGTTTAAAATAAAATCTGAAAATATATAATATAAAATAACATATTTAATATATTTATATATTATGATTATAAGATAATCTAAAATAATATAATTATGAAATAAATCTATATATTCATTTTATAAAATGTTTAATTGAAAAAAGAGTTAATTCTGATATTTTATACATTTATACTTATAATTAAATATTTATTGATCACATATAATACAGAGAAAATTTTATTAGAATAATATAGAAATATTTTATGTAATTAATAAGTATTTATAAAATATTTTTTTATACACAGAGACTAGCGATAGAAATTTCTCGTAATGCCATGGCGGTTACCAGAGCTACTAGTGGAACTAATGGAACGATATGCGCAATAACTGTAAATACATCGCCTATATCTATGCAGCAACAGCAGCAGCAACAAGATACAGGCGAGATCAATTCAAATACTATACGAACAATTGATGCATATTCTACTATGAATGGAACACCAGTGAGGTATAAATGCTGCAAAATCTACTTAAACGAATTGCATTGGATTAATTGAACCTTCATATATTTTAAATAAAAAGCTTTATCATTTTTAGCTTTCAAGATTCTGAGCACAAATAAATATTTTATAATAATGAAACATATTTTATTATAATAGATCAATATTGAGTACACTTCCCAATAATAATGGCAACTCGACGATACCAAGCGATCAATTGATGCCAATGTGTGAGCTAAGCGAGCTCTCGAGTATGCATACTCTCAGCTCTACGACGACATTGTC